GGGAGAGTCATTTTTGCAGTTTCATTCTATGACATTATTAGCAAAGAAACCACACACTACAGCTTTAAGCTGAGCTGAGCCAATATGAGAAATTCCCACAAAGACCAACAGGTCAAAAGTGCAGCGGTCTTCATTAAACTCCTCTCTTTCTCATTATGAGAAGCAGTCAGGTGTACACCACACCCAAACATACTCAAACATCAAACACTGACTGTGCAATTTTTGCCCCAGAGCTTTATGAGCCGTGACGTTAGAGTCATAGTAGCGCAAGAGACCTATTTATCCTGAAGCGCAGCAACTACATTAAGCAAATGAAAGAGACATACTCAATGATTGCAATGTCCAATGGAGTCCAGTGTAAACAATGTTGCAACATGAAACGTGACCTTTTCTGAAACCTGCAGAAAAGACCCATTCAGGAAGTAATGGAAGAAGGAAACCATACCGTCCATAGCGCTCTCCCCCTCTCAATGCAGTTCAAGAGGTCATCTGTCATGTTTTGTGAACTTTCAGATAGCTGTATGACATCTCCTTGCTCTTCCTTCACCCCCATCAGACGTTCCCTCCTGTGTTTTGCTCTCCGTCCTCAAAACTGTTCATGTCAGTTTATGTCGTACAGCAGACACTGAGACCGGTACATCGCTGATCAAGGATCAGCATCCGATAAGCCAGCCCATTCTTTCTTCTTATTGTTCTACTGTCCTTGCATCCCACTTGCTCGCTCACTATTCCCCTCCCCTTTTCACATTTGTTCTTTTTTGCCTCTTTCTCTCTCTCTCTCTCTCACGCTGTTTTCAGATCTCCTTCCAAAGGAGTCAGCCACCTCTAACTGCTGCTGCTGTGCCCTGCCCGGCTGGCCCAAACCCGAATGCTTCGGCATTGGTTGGAGCAAAGTCACATGGGCTGTTGCTGTCGCCAGGCCCAGGACAGGAGAAACCGAATCAGTACCAGCAAGCTCTTCCTCTTCAGACTCAAAGGGATGATGTTTTAGAGCACATCTGTGAGTGTCTTGAGTGTGTGTGTGTGTGTGTGTGAGATCAAGGCTCTGTACTCAAGCTGTCTGTATCCAGCACAGACATAAATCACAGAGCTGCCAGCACACAGTGTTCTCAGCCAGACACCGCAGCATTATCGCAGCCCTGTCTGATAGAAACACACAGGCTCAAATACACTCATGGCTAGCTAGAGGTCATGGGACCATCGCTCTAAAAGGGTTATAAAAGATGGAGGTACGGAGGGGGAGGGGAATTGGGACCTCCTTTGTGTGTTTGTTATCACATTTCATAGCCTTTTGGCAGCGACCCAAACAGATTTAAATACACACAGCGGAGTGTGGGGGGGGAATCCTCACCTTGACAGAACTGTTGGTGTATGTCTGAATGATGTTCTCGGCTCCTTGTTTCACTTTGAGCTCCATGGTAAGCTGTTTTTTCAAAGTATGGACACGGCTGCCCAAGGGTGATGTGACCTCTTTCCAATGGCATGGATCTGGAGAGGTGGCATCATCTGAGAAAACAAGCGTTTTCATGAATTTCTTTTTATATGAAAACCAAATGAGTCAAAGACAAAAATTTTCTGCACTTTATACAGAAATGTGAGGCAATTCTCAACTGTTAATGTGAAGCAATTAAACTCTGTCTACACTACCATTCGGACGTTTGGGGTCAGACTACGGTATTTTGTTTTTGAAAGAAATTAATACTGTTCTTTTCTTTAATTTCTTCTAATTTAAAGATATCTTCTAAAGACATAATTTTGCAAAAAAAACGTTATTTGAAATAAATACTGTTCTTTTGAACTTTCTATACATCAAAGAATTCTAAAAAAATATATAACAGTTTCCACAAAAATATTAAGCAGCACAACTGTTTTCAACACTGAATATTAAGTTTTTTGAGCACCAAACCAGCATGTCAGAATGATTTCTGAAGGATCATGTGACACTGAAGACTGGAGTAATGACTGTAGAAAATTCAGCTTTGCCATTACAGGAATAAATTACATTTCAGAAAACAGAAATCAACTGTTTTAAATTTTAATAATATTTGACAACAATTGTTTGTTGATTGAACAATTGATTGTTTTGACTGTATTTTTGATCAAATAAACGCAGCCTTGGTAAGCATATGAGGCTACTTTCAAAAACATATCATACCATATATCAAACTTTTGAATGGTAGTGTATGTATATATATATATATATATATATAAAAAAAAAAAAAAACAAGCACATGAGTGATGGAATCTTTAAATCCTTTTTTAAATTGTTTAAACAAAAAATAAAAATTATATTGTCATAATGAATCAAATGTAAAACAAGATTAGGTAAGTAGAAAATAAGATGGAAACTTGAACGAAACTATTTGAGTCAGTATAAAAATACAAATGAAATTTCGCTGTCCCTTATATCAATTATCAAAACTCACTATATCATGTCAAAGAACGATCCCACCCTCCTGCTCTCACCTGTAATAGTCTCTTTCTGTGTGGCCATAGCACGTGCATTCAGCTCCTGGAGCTCCCAGTGGAGCTGCTCCAGCTTACGGCTGGAGGCTCTAAGCTGACCGTCCACATCAGCAGCATTCTTGCGGTTAGTCACCGCCCGCCGCAGCCGCTCAGCCGCCTCTTTGATCTTCAGTTCCCGCTGGATCTCCTGCCGGAGAAGGGCAATCGCATCCTCTACACGCTGCTGGAACTCAGGGTCCATGAGGTCACCTTCAGCCAGACCCCGCAGACAGCTGCTCTGTGGTGTTCAAGTGACATCGAGAAAGTAGTACAACAAAAATCAACATGCTTCAAGTGTTTGTTAGTTTACAGCAGCCTTTTTGATAAAACACTCACATCTGCGTAACAGTTCAAGTAAGGCAGGCATTTGAGATTCTGATTTAAAAAAGGTTAAAGGGATAGTTGTGTCGTCCTTTAGTCACCTTCAAGTTGTTCCAAACCGGTATGAATTCCTTTCTTCTGCTGAATGTTATGTTCAACAGAAGCAAGAAATTCATACAGGTTTGGAACAAGTTGAGGGTGAGTAAATAAATGACAACAGAATTTTCATTTTTGGGTGAACTATCCCTTTAAGTAAACAGATAATTTCATTATAGTAACCAAATAATCAATTAAGCAAAGAAGTGTGAACATACTGATATTGATAAAGTGGACTTGCAATGAACAAGGTGAAAATAAGGTCACTGATATGAGCTGAAAGTGGATAGCAACTGAAGCAGTTACACCATAAACGCAGATATACATATCTGTATGCATATGAGGCTTTAAACACTTCCAGACACTTGCATATTGTCAAACTGCAGTAGTAGGAAAAAACTAAATGAAAGGAAGAAAACCTACATTTATTAATGGCTATTTTCTGAAAAATAATTTCATACTGCATCTCACTTTGTTACAAATAGAGGGCAGTGTTTCACACATTCTGACAGTCTTAAGTCACCAAAAAAGGTCTGAAACTAAAATTAATCTAATCAACTTACATGTACATACATAAAGTATTTACTACTATGCCTTAGATTTATCAGTATTTAACGAGCTGTCAAATAGTGTTGTACTGATACATTAATCGGTACCCCCTAACAGCAGTAAAGCTGAAAAAACAGGCAGACCACATTTCGGAAATAAAGAAACTATCATTAACCACTGTCATAACATGAACCTTTCAACTACTTTAAATCACAAAAGACTTAAATGTCACTCGTTTTTACACACACATAACTTCAGTTACATTGAAGCCTCTAGTGAGCGATAGAAGAGGAAGCTGAAGTCCTGTCAAACCCGTTCAACCTGAAAATGTTTAACGTTAATGATATTTAATTGTTCGGACAAAGCCAGAAAACTGCCTTATTAAGGCACAATAACATAAGTAGGCAGGTATAATGCCATAAACACAGCATTTGTCTAATTGTTTTCTTTATATTTGACATTTTTATTTTTTAATTTATTTTATTTTATAATAATTTCTCTATTACTAAAAAATGATTGTGGGTGTCTTGAATTAAACGCGTTGAGCCACACAGGACTCACCCACAGTGAAATGTAAACACGAGCCTTTGAACGTTAACGATCTGACAGATTTATGACTTACTTGATCTCCAAACAGCACTTTTCAGCATTTCCTATTACTCCATTACTAACCATATCAGTTAGGCTGTGTAAAATATATCTCATTTATTTCTTACCTGAAGCGTCACACCCGACATTATGAAATAATGTCCGATAAACGCAGAGTGATACTTAGACTAACCGAATCTTCACTCGAGCTCGCGGCTCTGGCTCACGCGGCGCCTGTTCGAGTTACACTAGACACCATATCCAAACTTCCAACTGAATTTGAGAGCTCAACCAAAAAAAAAGACATTCAAAGAGAATAAAAAGTTGGGTGCTGAAAGAAGATACAGGTGGCAGGCTGCCAGCTGGGAGGCTATACGGCTCTCAAATTACCGGTAGTTTTTTTTATGGAAGAAGTTGCTTTGCCTTTCCCATTTCCTGAGGTTTGAAAAATCCTCTTCGCCTCCCTTTTCAACGATTGGCTGACACCGCTGTCAGTCACAGGCGCTGCACTGACGTACGTCCTACACCATTGTTTAATTAATATACACAATAAATGCACCAGGGAAGCTGCAAATCTGCTGCCCTACAAAACAACAATTTTTGAGTTATGGTCGATGCCATTTTTATTCAGAATAAGAGCGGCAAACTTTGTAGCTTTAATGCTTTACATTTTTAAATGAAAACGTATAAACTGTTAACATTTTTTCTAATGTTTGTATAATCAAAAAAATGTTTAAAAAAAAAAAAAAAAGTATATATAAATTTAATAATAAATGCATATAGGGTATAGATAAATAATAAAGGTATAAAACTAATTTGTACATAAAATTTGCGCTCCGCTTGTCTCACATCTCGCGATGGTCGTTGAAATCTACGAACTGCAGACCGGAGATCTCCAAATGGGGGCGGGGCTTCCTCGCATTGACAGACAGGCACGACATTCATAGCGCGCCAAAGAATGGCGGTTCAGGTAAGCAGTTGGTCATGCAATATGATAGCACATAGGCTAAAGTTTGTTTTAGCTTTAATGAAAAACATAAATGTAGGTTTGTTGTGTTCAGGTGTGAACTTGGCATTAATAGTAAGGGATTTTTACACTATCGATAGCGTCATTATTCATGCAGTTTGCACTGTGTGTGTGTGTGTCTGTCTGTATGTGTGTTTAGTGCTTAAGAAAAGTAAAGTATGTGGTATGTGTTGTTAATAGTGAGTAATAAATTAGTGTAAAAATTCAATGAGAGTAATATGTTGATGTATTTTTTATTAGGTACATGGATCAATCTTTTTTTCTGGACAGGCACTTTCTGTACAGTATAAGGATGGATGCTTCCACTGTCCTGTCTGTCATTTCCAGACAGAATATGAGTGCCAGGGAAAAGCACATACAATTGTGCATTGTAATATATTTTTGGACTATAAAGGTAAGAGCTTCTTGTACAAATGTAAATTTACCAGTGTATCAAAGAATCATGTATGATGACTTAGATGACAGTCAGCCTTAAACATCATTACCACCACAAGTACTACACTTATCTTATTTTACAATGTGCTGCAAAACTTTTTTTAACCCCTGTGCAGGTTTCCGAATATACAAATGCCACCAAAACTGCAGGGTGTCACCCCATTTCCATTGCCCAGGCTGTAAAGACACTAGGATAAGGAGAAAAGATTTCTTTAGTCATTTATCGTACTGCCCCGGCAGCGTCTCCACATCGTGCCCCGGCAGCGTCTCCACATTGATCCCCGGGAACGTCTCCACATCGTGCCCCGGCAGCGTCTCCACATTGATCCCCGGGAACGTCTCCACATCGTGCCCCGGCAGCGTCTCCACATTGATCCCCGGGAACGTCTCCACATCGTGCCCCGGCAGCGTCTCCACATCGTGCCCCGGGAACGTCTCCACATTGATCCCCGGGAACGTCTCCACATTGATTCCCGGGAACGTCTCCACATCGTGCCCCGGCAGCGTCTCCACATTGATCCCCGGGAACGTCTCCACATCGTGCCCCGGCAGCGTCTCCACATTGATCCCCGGGAACGTCTCCACATCGTGCCCCGGCAGCGTCTCCACATTGATCCCCGGGAACGTCTCCACATCGTGCCCCGGCAGCGTCTCCACATTGATCCCCGGGAACGTCTCCACATCGTGCCCCGGGAACGTCTCCACATCGAAGCCCAGCAACGTCTCCACACCAAGCCCTGCCTTTGTGAAGGACCAGCCTGGTAGTATTCGTTGTGAGAATATGACCCAGCGCCCTGTTAGAGTTAATAAATTAAGCCAAACAATTGTGGAGTGTCCACACTGCAATATGTCTTTGTACTTTAAAAATCTGAAGCGCCATATGCAAAGAAGGCATTCTTCAAAGTTCACAGACATCACAAAAGAATACCACTTACAGAATCAGCCTATAGACCCACAATCAGGCATTTATGCAGTGGCAAAGGCATTTCGTGGACCTCCTGTTCCTATTCATGTCAAGCATAGCATTCAAGGGCCAAAACAGCACATTGAGTGTGAGCTTGAGGAGTGTTGCCTCTACTCTGAAGTTGCTGGTAGAAGTGGACACCAGACATTTAAATATTGCCATCTACGATCACTGGATTATTGTTCTGTGCCTTCCAGTTATTGTACTCTGGAAGAAAACACATTGAATGAAATGGTGGCTGCACATTGGTTTGGAGAAGAAAAAAAAGCCATGTGTTTAGAACGGCTTAAGAATGCTGGGTTTGCTCCACTTGCTGTATCTGTGAACATTGGACCTGACACAGTCCACTATGTTTCTGTTTTGGAGCAAAAACCATCATATTATAGTCGTGTTGGAAGAGTGGTGGTGGCCTATAACTCAAGGAAAAATAGCTGGCACTGTCCTTGTGCTAAGCCACGGGCATCCTGTATACATAAGTACATAGCAAAATGGTTTTTATTCCAAAACAAACGCCATCTGTTCAAATCTGTCAAATCCACAGAACCAGTGGAGGATAACACAAGTAATTATCTGGAAGAGGGGGAGGTTTCACATGATAGGTATCCACTAGGAAAAGAGTTGTTAAGAACTGCAACATACATCCAAAAATTCAAGAAGTTGCCAGCCAAACTTCCCAAGGATGTATTGACACCATCATTTGAGCACCACCCTCCAAAAGAATTTGTACCCTCTGAAATGTTTTGCACAGAATGCAGTGGACAAAGAGTCCTTAGTGACCCCATTCTCATAACAAAAAGTGCAAAACTTTTAACACTAACACATGTCTTTGAAGGTAAGAGAAAAAGCCATACAGAACAAATTCCTTGTTGTTGTGTAATATTTATGCATTAAAAGTAGAAACAAAGACACATTTTAACTAATACAATTTTTTGTCTTCATTTATTTGTCAAATGTTTAGGTATATCAACATTCTTTAAAAAGTGCTTCTATTGTGGAATGATATACCGATATCAAGAGTGGGCTGACAGTGTACACAATTATGATGACCACATCATTCTTAGCCTTCACTTCTGTCTGTACTTAAGGGCATCTCTTCAGGTTAGGTGACTGTATAGTCCTTGCTTGTTGTAATACAAAAACATTTCTAGATATTTCACTTTGTGACAAAGTAGAACATTTTTTCTTAACATAATTATCTTCGACATTATCATTTTATAGACTCACAACGCAGCAGGAAGAGTTTTTGAGGCCATGGAACTGTCATTAGATGTGAAGCTACCTCCGTACAGCCGTATATTGCGAGGATACATGCATTTTGAAGCTTTGACAGACCATCAATACACATATTCGTGTGTAAAATGTGGCTCCAATCCAGCCATTGTTGTAATGGATCTGCATAAGAAAGGAGTGTTTAGCATGCCAGGTGAGGAAAATTTAAAAAAAATAATTTTAGATGTTACTGAAAAAATGTGTATATCATAGTATATTTATCAACTTGCTTCAACTTTCTTTCACAGTAAGTGAAATCCCTGATCCATCAGATTACACTGGAATGGTGGACATGGAAGAATTTTGGACTTCAGTCTCTTCAGAAATCATTTCTGATGGACTTATGGAAACCTTCAGTAAGGCATAATTTACCTAACATGCTTTCATACAATAGGAATGTCTGCTTTTTTGCTTCAGGGATTCAGTAGCCTAATCCAGTCTTAAAATGTAATATTTTTTAATGTTATTGTCCTTTAACTGTGTGCATACAGATCAGGAAACAAAGCCATTTGTTGTACAACCTGACTATAATAAATGGTCACCCTGGATTGGGCCACAAACCAGGAAATCAAATGTGGTCTACAACACAGAGTGGGAGAAGGTACACAAAAAACTAACATCATCTGAGAAGGTCAATGTAGAAATACCCGAAGATAGACTTCTGGAACAAGTGATGGCAATGAAGGTAAAACTTCACCATCCTTTTCACATTTTTCCCCCAAAATCAATTTATTCTTAGTCTTTAAATACATATACAATTTTAATCTTGGTGTGTTTAATGTTTGACAGGTGGAAGAGGTGAAAAAACTATGCAAGTCTTGTGGCATGGACTCATCAGGGTCCAAAATGGATCTCATTCTGCAACTTCACACAGAAATAAAGAACCGTAGTGGCTATGACAAAGTATTTGCCAAAGTTTGGGGTGCCTCTGGTAAGTATGAGTATTGTTACTAATATTATTAATTATTACATTTATGGAGGGATGAATAGCATTGTGTGTTGCTAAAGAAATGTTATCTTCTTAGGTGGTTGGGCTACAATCATGTGTCCATGTGGAATTGTGTATAGTTTAAAGTTCAACTTGAGAGCAGAAAGTCCAAGGGACTATATGGACTTGTTAATGTCATGGCAGCACATTCCAAATATAGTAATTTATGATTTTGCCCGAGGACTGGCAACTCATGGAAATATAAGATTTCCAACAGCACTGCCCTTTTCTCCTCATGAGGGAAGATTATTCAGCCCTACTGCTGAAAACATCCAACGTGCAAAAGAAGGGAGGCTCACAGTACGTCTTCCATGGTTAATAAAGGCCAAGGAAACTCCTGATATAAATGGGCACCCCTTAACGGGATCGTCCGAGCATTATGTGCTCTATGATAAATTGCATGAGGGAAATACGAAGGATGAGAAAGATGTACTAAGGAGGATTGAACTTGTTCCTGAACTTGCTGGCCGTATCAACAGTCAAGTGGTTGAGCAGTTTTTCTCACAAATGGAAAAAAACAACTACTTTTTAAACATGATGAAGCCAAGTACTCAGATTTTCTTGATCAGAAACATAATCCATCACAGAAATTCCATCATAAACACAGCAAGGATGGATAAGATTAAGAAGAGTCTGGACGTTGAATTTAACTTGACAGGCCTATACTACGAAACATGCCATTTTTTTCTAGTTTAGATTGCATATTCCCTGCATGTAGGTGATGAGGCCTCGACAGAGAGAGTTGGTCTTTCTGGACTCTATGTACCATAAGACTGCTGGAGAATTTGGAAACATGTCCTACCAAACTGTCCTAAGGTTACTTAAGGAAGACATGCATTTTGGCAGCCACGTTCCCCTGGCCAGCCCAGTTTTGTTTCATTTGGCGGTCATGTTCTCTGGCCTGCAGTTTACAGGGAGCACTTTATGTGTGACTAGTGTATGTTTTGTTCATGCTTCAGTTTGTGTTCTAGTGTTGATTGATTAATTTAGTGTTCCAAGCATGATAAAACAAAACAGAGGACTTCATTCACCATCCTTTTTTTTAATAGGAAACTTGCACAGAATCTTGTCCCTGGAAAGTGGTCAGAAAAAACTGGAAGTGATTTAAAGGTAAACATACTGTAACTTAAATGATTGTGTGTGTGTGTGATTACTATACTTTATCTTATATTATCACAGTGAATAAGCAACTATAAAATCATCTATTCAAACAGGGAGTTCCTGTGCAAGATTATGGGAATGACTGTGGTATCTTCATGATCATGGTGAGTTAACATTTGGAACTTAAACAAGACAAATTACAAGATTAAATTGACAAAAATTTGTAAAATCTGATATAACTGAAACTGTTAATGACAGTCCACATTCATTTTTAACACAGTTTTATGCTGTTCAGCTATACTGCATGACAACAATGTTATTGAAAATGTATATTTTATATGCAGTACATCTGGTATATGGCAATGGAGGCTTATTTTGATTTCACTGTGGTAAGTGTTGCTTAAATTTGACGTTATACAGCCTTGCTAAAAACAAGATAACTCCTTAATCATTTCACATACCTCAAGTAGGTGTAATCTTGTAGCTACTGACATGTTGAATTGTGGTTATGTGACTAACTGAATCTGGGAGTGATTTGAGTGTTCCTCCTGTGTTTGAATTAGTTTATATGAATAGTTTATTTTAAATAATTTCACCTCTGAAACTGTTTTCCTATTTAGGAGGACATGCCAGATCTTAGAAGGTGGTGGTGTATAATTTTGATGGAGAACTTTCATCTAGAAGGGTACACAATAAAAAAAAAATTGAATTAAATGAATTTAATGCAACCGTTAACATAAAACTAAAAATTTATTTTCGATAATGTGCGTTTGCAGTCACGGGCGAAGATTTGCACATTGGACTGAAGACGGGAGACAAACTCTTAAGGGAACTTTCACACCAGTCTTCCGCATACCAAGGAAGAGAAAATGTCCAGACCCCACAGTAAGATTTTAAGAGGTTTATCTTTTACAGAGCTACCCTAAAAGAGACTGCTACGAAGTCATTACTGACCACATTTTTTATCATTTTCATATTTCCACAGAAGCATGACAAGCCAACCAAGAGAATCCAGACCTAAAAAACGTGATGAAATGGGCACAACACAGAAATGGGTACATCTACTGTATGTACAGATAAATGAATAGTTCCCCCTGTCATGTCATCATTGTGTATGAACTTTGTTGAACATAAATTTTTAGAAGAAAATTATATATATTAATATTATATTATTAAAATATTCAAATTTATATTAGAAAAGAGCTGTATCTCATTCAAAATTGGATCACTTCAGAAAACATTTGTTAAACTGGAGTTATGAATATATATGTGTGTGTGTGTGTGTGTGTGTATTACAAGTACATTTTGAACATTGGCATATATGATCAGTTAAACCTAGTTTTTAAAAAGTTTTTGAATAATACAAGCTGAAGCCTTTAGAACAATAAAACACGTCGAAAAAATTAAATGCATTCATGTCTTTTTTTTATTCATTTTATATTACAGCCATGAAGACAAACAATAAACCACTGCAAAAAGCACATACAGTATATCTGCATTTACTGAACAATGTATATGGTATCATGACACTTAACCAATAAAGTGTTTGCAGTTTCAAGCTATATATATATATATACACACCTATATACTGCACATACAAGACTGAACTATTTTATATATATACACACACGTATATAACTTCTTTTCTCGTTGTAGAAACAGAACGATAAAATGTCATCAATAATCTTATTTAACATACGCTTAAATTTTATATAAGATCAATTCAACTTCAAGCGAGAAACGGCATTTAATTCACGAACTCTTATGTTGAGATGTCAATCAACAACATGGCGGAAGCGAAAAGTCATTGTGGAGACCCCGCCCCCTTTTGGAGGTACGGCCCACATTTGGAGTTCCCGCCCCAATTTGGAGATCTCCGGGCTGCAGTTATACAATCCGCTATTTGAGTTTTCAAGTGCGTCATCATTTCACATATCA